CCCCCCCCAAGCTTTCGCATGCAATGCACTAGATCTTAGCCTACTTTAAACACGAAGGGCTTTTTGATTGTGACACGCTGGCCTATCTCCAGTATTCGAAGTTGTTGTTTTTTTTGTTTGTTTTGTTTTTTTTACCTGACCTTTAGATAACAATCGGGATCTTTCACCTTTACGAGAACGTTTTCTCTGAAAATACGCTGAAACAAATGCTTTTGATTTTAGTTTTAGAAAGAGTTTGACGGCACTTGCAACACACTATGGTTGTAAAAGTATCGAAACTAATGCTTTTTATCTACCCCAATTCGGCTCGTCTTTGAGCGGCTTTCTGTTCGTGAATCGTGTACATTAATTTACACGCGTGTACATTTAGTCATGTTATGATGTTTTTGTAAGTTTTAATGAGAGTCTTACGGCACTTGCACCACAAAAAGGTCATATAAGTGCCGAAGAATAGAGGTTTTACAAGAGAGTGACATACACAAAAAAGAAGGAGGAGAGATAAGGGCGATAGATGTTTGATAGGAAAGAAGAAGCAACCCCCATCAGAGCACCCGCCAACCGCCCACTGGTTGTTGTTGTTTTTTTAAATCCACTTTCCACCTTCTATACATAGAGAAAGCGGGGTTTTTTTTTTATCACGCCGTGTAGATAGGTCGAGCGCTGATCCTTGTCTATCTAATTAGATGACAGGCTATAATCACCGCCTTTCACATAGCAGTGAGATTAGAGGCTTGCTGTCTTTCACACCTCGCGTCATGTCATGTACTCCCACCGGTGAATGGATCATTATTAAATGTCAATTTAAAGATAACTATTAGGTCTTTACGTTGGAAATTGTTGACTGTACTTTACTTTTGCCCCCTGTCCTTATATAGTCGTTTTTAAGCACAAGGGGGCTATCCCGAAAAAATGCTGTTTTGAGAAAATTGATTTTCTTTAAAATACAAGGAGAGTTTTCTATATAACCAAACAAATATACACACCAATCAAACCAAACTTATCCTACTTGTAGGACAATGCCCACTTTTGGTGTAGATCAAGATTTCTGGAGACCCGCGAAATCTGGGTTAGCCCGCTTGTCCTTAAAAACGACCATATCATATTGTCCCCTATCTGGAGTACGCGAGTCAGTTTTTTTTCCCTCCTATTTCCTCATCACTAAAGGACCACTTTCTTGGTGATGCGCGCTGCCTGTATTTGAAATTAAGACTAATTAACAAAAAACAAAGACCAACAAAACCCCAACTAAACCCGAACCTTGCCAAAAGTCTGCAAGTCAGTTCCAAAATTTCTGGGCTTTTCTTTCTTTATGGTTTTTTTTTTAAATAAATGGAACGCTCTGATGTTTATTTGCTACATACAAACAGGTGTATGTGGGTGATTGGCGGATGCTCTGGTGTGGGTTGCTTCTTCTTTCCTATCAATTGTCTATCGTCTTTATCTCCCTCCTTCTGTTTTTTGTGTTTCTAACTCTCTTGTAACACCTACTAATCTTCGGCGCTTATATCATGACCTTATTGTTTTGCAAGTGCCCTAAAACGCTTACTAAAACTAAACAAACAGGTTGCCGGTGATTTGAGCGCGGTGCCACTGGGAGATCCTGCTTCTTTTCTTTCTCTCCTCACGTTTCTGTCTCCCTGCCCTGCTTTTGACACCTCTGCACTAAATGACCCGTATTGTGTCGATATGATTCTCTTTACGCCAAAAACGAATAAGCAGTGACAAAAGCGGAACAAATAAGCACACACACACACACACACACACACACACACACACACACACACATGTATATGTATTTATTTATTTATTTATACTGTCGAACTTGTGTAAGACG